TGTAGAAGTTATTGTTTTACGGCGCTCGCAACTGCATAAGGTCATATGAGCGTGCGGGACACATTCAACATTTTCAGTTGGTTGGAAATTTTAAATTTTGCCCAGGTTGCGGCCGAAGCCTACTCTTATCGACTTTGGACCATCAGTGAATCTTTAACGTGCGCAACTTGCACACGGGAACTCCCCGATTTTTTCCCCTTGTTCGAGAAGGCTCTGTGTAGAGATCTTCCATATCAGAAGATCAGGGGTGTGGCAGAAAGAACAGCAGAAAGAAGGAGCCAAGGAGTAGCAGAACAAAGGCTGTAGAAAGAGTCAGGAGCCCAGAGGAGTAGGCAAAGGAGGTGAGGGGGTGGGGGCAGAAATTGGAGACGAAAGTAGACGACAGAGCATTGCCAGAGAGCAGGAAAGGAGATGAAAGGAGACACTTTAGAGAACAAAACTTTCCGTGGCTATCCAGATTTGAACCCGGGACCCATTTAATGAGAGACGAACACCTTAACCTCTAGGCCTCGAGAGCCCTCATATTATGGTTTGAGTTTGAAGCTGTTTATCAGTGAGTTTGGAGCTGTATTTTGATGCATTAAACTTTATGGAGGGGAAGAACTTTTCACTCAGATATGTAACACGAGCTACCACAAAGGCACAGGGCTCGCTTGAGGAGAACATTCTGGAAAACTCAGGGAAGGTGGGAAACAATTCTCCCAAACATTGACCGAGTTTTGGTCACGCTAACTCTAAATGTTGATGTCACGTTGGGGTCGCTAAGTATTGTCCTACGGCCTCATTTGGCCAGGGGACCGCCAGTTTGAGACCCTTGTAAAGGGACAAGCGGGAACACCAGACTGTTAGGCTAGTACATCCGTCTAATGTTCCTCAGTAGGGGGTTGGCGAGTGCTCTGGTGGGGTTTGCTCCTTTTTTCCTGCCAATCATCTATCGTTCTTATTTCTCTTCCTTTTTGTGCTTTTTACTCCCTTGTAACACCTCTAATCTTCGGCACTTACTACATGACCTTATTGTGATGCAAGTGCCGTAAAACTCTTGATATAAAACTAAACTAACTGTTCTGCGACTCAGGGGCCAAGTGCAGTTTTGAGTGAGAGCACGGGAAAGCTGAATAAACGAAAGTGACGACAATACTTTAGCTATGGAGGTCAATGTTGAGATGTAAATTTATAATAATATAATAATAATTGCATTTATATAGCGCATATCCATGCTCAAGAGCTTGCTCTATGCGCTTTACAATTATTATTACCCCAGCAGACCCTCTGAGAGCACTCAGAAACATTCTCAGCTTCCGAGGAAGTATACAGTGCAAGCTGCGGATTTCACGCGCTCAAACACTATCAAACTGACAAGATCTTTCACTGTCTATAGCTGGGTACCCATTTCCACCTGGGTGAAGTGAGGAAAATTTGTGCAAAGTACCTTTCCCAAGGACACAACGTCGGGTCCCTGACGGGATTCGAACCCACGACCTTACGGTTGCGAGTCCGAGAGCCTAACCACTAGGCCACCGACGCCCTAATTTAGGTCAGGTACGGGCAAAGGTGGGGGACAGAAAACTGCGCAGGTTTTACCCTGTTCTGCAACAGATTACTTAATAGGCCACCTTCCTATGGATGGTAAATTACGCAGGTTTTTAAAGTGCGGTATCGATTCTGAGGTAGCTGTTTTCGAATCAGAGTTGCGACCTCGAGTGTTCACTGAAAACAGTTCGAGTAGTATATCTTACTACCAGGTTGAGTCACTGAGAGGGGGGGGGGGGTACAATAATGTATAGCTCGTTACAGCTTCTCAGAGTCAACAGCTAACACAAGCAGAGTTCCTCGACAAGATGGCCCCCAAAAAATGCTTCCTGTGAGACTGTAAATATCGCTTTTATCTCCACTTTTATCAAGTATTTTAATCAGTGATTTTTAAGAAATGTACTGTCATAAAGACATCATCCTGCTCGAAATCCGTCTTCGTGGTGAGCATGGGGCAATAAATATCAAGACTGTTTTATCCTGAAAAAAATATCAATGAAACAACAGTCTTGATAATTGGCTAACGGAAGAGGTCTACCGAATTAAACGTAATATACTTATAGAATTTCAAGTCAATACTTTGTCGAATACCTAAGAAATACTCGATACCGAAAATCCCTGCGCAATTTTCCAGCAGGTATTTGGACAACTCCTTTGAACTTTTTGACAATAGGATTAAAAACATGCGCAATTTTCCGCTGCCTGCAAGGGTGTCCACGTTGTGTGTCAGATACAATAATTCAGAATTATCCCAAGGTTAAACACAGGAGAAAATTGCGGTGAAATCGCTTGAAATACTCGATGCTCAAACTTTCAAAAGTGAGACTTTAACTATTGACACTTTAGCATGTCATTATGTCGCCCAAGGACATTTCATGACAAAAGATCTGTTGTTTCCAGCTGGGTTGATGAGGTTAATTTTCAAGTCGGACGACAGTTTTATTTTCATTAGTATATTCTATTTAATTTCACCGTGGACCACATTTATGATTAATTACGTTGTTTCAGGTGGGCGGGGGTGGGGGGGGGGGGTGGGGGGGGGGGCGACTCGCAGACCAAATTGAAACTGTAGGGGGCTCTAGTGGTCTAGGGGTTAAGCTGTTCGCCTTTCATTCAATAGGTCCCGGGTTCGAATCCGGATAACGACGGAAAACTTTCTTGTCTTAAATTGTCTCCTTTCACGTCCTTTCCTTCTCTCTAGCAATTTTCTGTCGTCTGCTTTTGTCTCCACTTTCTGCCCCCACCTCCTCTCCTCCTTAGCCCCCACCCCTGGGCTCCTGACTCTTTATACAGCCTTTCTACTGCTTTTCTTTTGCTCCTTCTTACTGCTGTCGTTCAGCCACACCCCTGATCTTATGGTAGGTAAAATCTACACCTATCCTTCTCGGAAAAGGGAGAAAAATCGGGGAGGCCCGGTGTGTACGTTTCGCACGTTAAAGATCCCTTAGTGGTCCAAAATCGATAAGAGTAGACTTCGGCCTCCATAAGGGCAAAATTCAAAATTTCCTTTGAACTAAAAATGCTAGGTTCGTCTCGCGAGCCCGTATGACCTAATGCAGTTGCAAGCGCCGTAAAACACTTACCACAAAATAAAACAACACGAAAACAAAACTACTAAAAAGTGACACTTAAACTACTGACACTTTAGCGTATAATATCATAACATCACCTGTCACATTTGGCATTTGGTGTTTGGAAGACGTTACATGTTTTGTTTTTTTTAAAAGGAAACCCAACATGATAAGTGTTGATAAAAGCATAATAGCACAATAATTGCTCCCTCAATTGATAGAACACTTAACCCTCCCTAGAATTCCTCTTGTGATGTATCCTGACTGAATAAAGATATTGTTAACTTGACCAGTGGGCCTGTTATCTTTTTTATTGTCGTTTCCCATGTGTATGACTGGTCAACATGGTGGCAGCGGATGGTTCCCAGTGTTTGGTAATCCGATAGCGAACTCAGAGTGACAGGGAAGGCCCCTCATTCAGTTCCATTCACGAAAATTGAGCGACTGTCGCCGCTTGAACCAAGGCAACGGGCATGGCCAAATTTCACTTCCAAGGGAAATAACCTAGGTAACTCGCATCTTGAACAAGCTTACAGAGTTGTTTTCCTTGATTTTTACAACTGTAGATATGGCTTCCCCACAAAGACGGATTCCTGTCCCAAGGCCTTCAGTGTTGACTGGAAACCTCAATGCTAACTGGAACGTTTTTCACTGGGATTGGAAAAACTATGAGATAGCAAGCAGGCTGTCAGCAGAGATAGAATAAGTGAGAGTAGCAACATTGCTGTCCTGTGTAGGCAAAGAGGCCATGGGCATATGACGGCTTCCAGTTAGATAAAGACAAAGACATCAAGAAGATTATGGATGCCTTTGAAACCTCTGTATTGGCGAGACAAATGAGTCATACGAAAAATTGGTTTTCAACAGCCGTAACCAGCAAGATGGTGAATCTGTAGACAAGTGCAGAGCCGAGCTTAGAAAACTTGCAAAAACATGTAACTTCCAAGAGTTGGAGGAAAGTTTGATCAGGGACAGGATCATTATGGGAGTCGAATGTGATGTGACCAAATGCAAGCTACTTCAAGAAGCAAAGCTTACTCTGTCCAAATGTATTGACATTGCAAGGTCAATTGAGTCCTCAAAGAAACAGTTACAGACAATACTTGGAGAGTCGAGTGAACTCCACAGGGTGTCACACTCATCACAGCAGAAGAAAGGATGTAGTGTAGTGATTCTCCGAACACTCAATTAACTCACAACCCAGCAGCTGACATGACCAGGACCTCGTACAGACCTGCCAAGTGCTCAAAGGAAAAACCTCACCTGACCCAAATGTCCCACACGGCCAGTCGAGTAGAAAACTCCGGTGAGTAAAGACCTACCTACAATAGGAAGAATCCAGCACAACTGACTCAGCTCAGACCAAAAATTCAGAGTACAAGAATCAAATGCAAATTTTGTGGGAAAGACTATGAACCAGATAAGAACAAATGCCCAGCTTTTGGCAAGCGATGCACCAACTGCAAGAAAAATAATAATTTCAGAGTACAGTGTAGAACTGAGATGTCTGTTAGCCATGTTGAGGATGATGCAGATGACAGTGATGAATCATTGGAATTCCTCTTGGCTGTGAAAGGCCAACATCATAACAAGAAGAAAAAACTTACTGCACCGCTAAAAGTTGGAAAAATACCAGTGCGCTTCATTCTCGACACGGGAGCCATTGTGAGTACAGTAAGAAAAAAGAATTGGTCACAGCCAGTGTCATCAAGCCTACAACTTGTACGAAGTTAACGACGTGGAATGAAACTGCATCCAAACCTCAAAGTGAAGTGGAACTTCTCACAACTAA